GTTTCTGGTGGGAACAATGGCTCTACTTGCCTTTGAGAGTTTTTCCCATGTCTCAATTCTCCATTCACATAATTTTTATCAAAATAAAACAATAATTCATTGTTTTCATCCGATACAATGGTTTTTAAATACTCCATACCTCGTTTGACATCGTGTATAGGTAAGAATGCTAATCCATCGATCATAGCTGCAAATAAGCATAACATTGGATCATTCCGATATGATGATTCTAACCCCAATTAATGAATCTTTCTATGAGTTGATTGAGTTAGATGATAAAAACATCCTTGGATGTTGATATCTCTACCTAAAAGTTGAAAAAATATATATTAAAATTATTGTATAGGTTTTATTTAATATTTATGTCTTTATCAATTTTTATTAATTGTACTGTGTGACAAGAAAAATGGGAGAAAAAATAAATAAAAACAAGTTTTGGTGCAGAATTTGACACTGAGTTCGAATTCGTTTTCTAAGTTTTCCCTTCACGTCAAGTTTTAAAAATATTATCGTATAAAGGCAACTTTTCGAAATCTCAAAAATGGTAATACGGATATATTTTAAAAAGTATCAAATGAAAATCCCTGAAAATTGGTGATAGTGTTAGATTTATATTTCCTTATAAATTTATTAATTTATAATTTTTTATCGATTGCTTTTTGAGAAAAATGGTAAAGAATTTCGTTTTGGGGGGTCTTAAGTTTTCAATTTAAATTCCCGGCAAGAATCGTATAAATATGTTGGCGGACTACTGCTGGAGTATCTTTTTTGAAAATAAATCATTAACTTCATATTCGCGGAAATATATTTAGATTTACCATTAAATGTTTTTAAATTCGATAAATTTTATGTTATTGTTTAATTTGTTTTAAATTCAATAAATTTATTGTATATTACAAGTTAAATCCTATATAATAATGAAGGAGGGGGTGAGACAACGGACCGATAAAAGGTTTATTAAAAGTAAAATATGAGATAGGTTAGCTTAGCATAATATATTTATTTAAATATGAGAAATGTAACTATTTCATTTAAAATAAATTGTTTGGGAATCGTACCTTGTGCAGTGTAGCGAAGAGAATGAAAGCTACAATAAATATATTAAATGTAAGCTATATTAAAAAAGAATCTAGAAAAATAATTCCCCGGAAAAAAAATCTCCGTTTTTAAGATAATTAAAATTACAAAATTAGGAGAAAAAATTCCCTATAAATAAATCAACGAAATAATAATTCTCAAATAAAATATTTAAAAATTTTGATAAAATTAATTCTGAAGAATTATTAGGATTATGTTTTATACGTATTTATAGATATATAAAACGAAAATCAACATTTTTCAAATTATATTCCTAATAAATTTGGTCAATCGAATATTTAGTGAGTGGTCGGTTTTGAGCTCGGCAATCGGTCAAATCAAATTATTTTCAAAATATTTTTTAGAATAATGCTTAGCACGTAAATATACACGTATAAAGAGATTTTGATAAATAACGCCAGCAATATTTACTTTAAAAAATTTTCATTATTTTACTATTCTAAACCTACTCATTAAACATTAAAGAAACCTAAAAAAAATTTTTAATTTTTAGGTTTTTCATATGTATATATATACCCAAATATAAAAAAAATTCTATCCAATCATCATTCCGGTTTCCTAAAATGATACATATTAAAACATATAACGCCCTCTTACGGATATATATTTGTTAATTTTTAAAATTGAATAAAATGTATATTTGTTTTAATAAGCTAGAAAAATAAATTTCTTATTAATAATATTAAATAAAAATAAAATTATATACTATATCATTTAATCAGTATTCTTCATTTATAATAAAAAAATGATTTAAATATATTTTAAAAAAAGTTTAAAAAATTATCATTAAAAAAATATACGTAATAAATTTTTGATTGATTTATAATTGATAATGATTGATTGCCTTTTAGCAATGCAGTTTAGCAATGCATTAGCAATTCAATGTATAGTGGGGAAATTTTTTCCGGGGAATTATTTTCCAGGGGAATTTTATTCCGGGGATTTTTTTTCCGGAGAATTATTTACCTGGGAATTATTTTCTGGGGAATTTTTTTCCGGGTAATTATTTTCTAGGGGATTTTTTTCCGGGGAATTAATTTCCGGGGATTTATTTTCCGGGGATTTTTTTTCCGGGGAATTAATTTCCGGGGATTTTTTTTCCGGGATTTTTTTTTCCGGGGAATTATTTTCCGGGATTCAGTTATCATATATATCTTATGTATGTACCACGGCAGATAGTTGGACACATAACAGAAGGTAAAAACTTATTTATATTTATAAATTGATCTGATTAAATATTTTTAGAGCTTATTTGGGAATCACAGGCCATTGGTTAGACCCTAGGACTTTAAAAAGAAGATCTGTAGCCTTAGCCCTTAAAAGGATTATAGGATGCCAGACATATGACGTACTTGCAAATAAAATTATTGACATCCACAAGTCTTTTAGGATTCATAATAAAGTTTGCAAGATGGTTACTGATAATGGGTCTAACTACCTGAAGGCATTTAGGTTATATCACAAATTTATTTATAATATTTATTTTAAGTTATGATTTTTATCAGAATGGAATGGTTATTATTTAATCTATAAAATTAGTATTTTAATATTTCACATTATTTATAGAATTTTTATTAACTAAATACACACATATTTTAGTAATATTATGATTATCATAATTTATATCAAATTATAAATAAGATAGGCTAATGGCGAAGCTGAATAATCTTACTCCAACAAACAGAGATTGCCGAGTATCTAGCACGAAGACATCCTCAAATAATTTTTTTGAAATTAAAGATGATTTAATAGAAAATCCAATTGATCTTTTTTTTCAATCAAAATATATTGAGATGAATATTTTTGATAATTTTTCATATATTAAAAATTTATATATGAAATTTAATACCCCCTTGCCCTCAAGTGCTAGTGTCGAGAGATTATTTAGTAAAGCAAAGCTTATACTTTCTGATCGTCGCTCTAGACTTGGGGATGATAATATTGAAATGATATTATTATTAAAATGCAACAAATTAAAATAAATATTTATTTATATTGCTTATTTTTTTATAATCTAAACTAACTATTAAATGTTGATTTTTATATATTATTTATTATACATTTACATTATAAGCAAAAAAAAAATAAAAAAAATTTTTTTCATTTGTTTCTAAATTTTTTTTTATAAAAGTAGCTTAAAAGTAGCTAAAGCTACTTTTGAAAAAAAGTAGCTAATAGCGCGCTACTTTTTTTGACAAATAGCGAAAGCGGTAGCGCGCTACTTTTTTTGACAAATAGCTATTACGGTAGCGCGCTACTTTTAGAAATAGCGTTTAACAACTCTGATTAAATCACAACCTTTAGAGAATAATTATACATATAGTTCCATATTATTTTTTTTGATGATGATCAGAATTTTCACTTTTTTCAAATAAGTATAAATTTATATGCTAGCACACTATTATTATACATATATTCATATCAAATTTTTTATATAACAAACTATGTATCTTTATTTGAATAAAAAATAAATTAAATATCAACATCAAATAAAATATTATTAAATGTAAAATTAAAATTATAATATTGGATATTTTTCTTTATAAAGATAAGAGCCTCAAGTTTATGTGTAAATAGTTTCTCTTATGAGGGCTACTATATTTAGTATTGTTAAATAAACAGCTCCATTTGAGAAGATTTTTTAAAACGGCTAACTCATCCGTAATAATATTACGCAAGCCTTTAGTCATGGATGGCACAAAGGTTTGGACATTTATTAGCAAAATCTCAAGGTTTTAAACAATATTTTACTGGTTAAAATATTGAGTTAGCCGTTTTTCAGCTAAAATCGAACCTTTTAACAACATTAAATCACCAGCTATGCTGAAAACTGATTCTGATGGAACACATGTGTAGGAGATGCCAAATACTAACATGCAATGTTTGCCAAATACTAATGTACAAGGTTTACCAAAATCGGAAACCTTTGAGCATTAACCCACTAATAATCCAGAGGATCGATCGGAGATAAAATATTGACATCTTTGTTAATTAATCAAATTTAAATTCGCATTTTTATTTACTATAAGTTCTTCATAAAAGCTATGAAATAAAAATACACAAAAATTTTGGGTTATTTTCTTTATATTAGTTTATTAATATATTTTACTTCTATAAATATGTAAAAAACATTAAATAATTTTATTTTCACTTTTTATAAAATTTATGAAGATTTATTACGAGAAAGGGAAATTAGTTCAAAAATAAATTAAAAAATGTGATAAGAAATTTAAAAAAAATGCATTAAAATCTGTATCGGTTAAATTTTTAAAAACTATTGGCCGATCCGATATTTTTTCTAAAAGTTTAATATCGGTACTGATCCGATACACAATACAGATATTAAAATAATTGATATATAAAACGATTGTTATATAAATAGATAGTCATAAAGTAGAGATATAAGAGCCTTAGTTTATTGGGAAAAATTAGTTATAGACATTGAAAATGGGCTGGCCAGGAGCTATTCGTAAAATTTTAACAAAAAATTATCGAGCCAAATAAACATTTAATGACGCCCTAGGTCAAACAACTTGCGCAAAAAATAATAAATTTATACATTTCAAAATGTGCTAATCATTTAAAATAAAAGTATATAATTTAAAGGACTGTTATGAACCAGGTTAAACCGGGTTCTCTCTTTCATATCCACCGATAGATCGGACGGTTATAAAATTTTATATTCACGTCATTTTAAGATCACGGCATATGATTGAATTGCGTTCTAAATAATAGCAGTTAATTTTGAAAAATAATTTAATTTCTTAAGACGAAACTAATTATTTCTTTAGATTACACAAATTTTTAAATAATTTCTTAGAATTTATTTTATTCTAACTAAAGATATTCGGAAATTACTCCCTAAGCAATACATAATAATTAATTTATATAAAATTAATTAGCTGAGGGCATATATCAAAGTTATTCACTTATTCCAACTAACAACGAAGAAGAATATATGCTTTTGATTTCCCAACAACCACAACAAAATTTAAATATTGAAAATATAAAGCAATCTCCCCAAAATCACCCCAAAAGCTTGATTGATCTATTCAACGAAATGGAGCAAGAGGGCATCTATGATACTGAGCAATTAAGGAAAATTCGCATAATTTTGGTAATATATATTTATACTTAATTTTTGGTTATTCTACACATTTGTATAAATGCATAACGGGGATTAGTTTATTTCCAAATTAGCTACAGCTCAATAAACTTACAAAAATTAAATTATACTGCTGATGTTGCTTTTGTTTCAGGTGATACCATACTTTAAACATAAACAATTTTCTATACCTAGACTAGAGGTTTGCAATGGGCGGGTAAAATATTTTAAATGATGGCCGGGCAGGTTAAAAAATATTTTTATGACAATGGGCGGGTAAATTTAAAATATTTTTCGGAAATGTAAGATAATTTTTTTATTTCATAATATTACATTTCTTATAAGCTTAATTAAAAATATATTAAAATAAATAAATAAAGAGCCAAACCAGCCTTATAATTTTTAAACATTGAGCGGGCGGGTTAAACAAATTTCTTATATAAATAGGCGGGTGAATAAATTTTTAAGAAAAAAACTTAGGTTAGCGGGCAGGTAGGTTAAAAAATTAAAACAACTAGTGGGCGGCTTATTTACTAAAACCCTCTTATTGCGCACCTCTAACCTATACCTCTTTTTGACCACGCCTCTGCCAAAAATATATTGGCGTGCTGCTGTTATGATTTTAACATTATAAATTAATTGCATTCATATGATAAAATACATTAATTTAATTTTGTAGTAATGCTATTTTATTAATTTAGTTATTATTTTCTCATATAAAAAATCATTTTATTTGTAAAAACATAGTTCAAATTATTATGTATTATATCAATAAACAAGTTTAGATATTATTGATTTTTTAAAATTTAAAACTTGTAATTTTGAAAACTATTTTAAGCAAGCAGTTGCCAAACTTCAGGTATCTTTATCTGGTTGATGATTCTTATGTTTTTAGCGTTTTAAATTTGGTAGTTAAGAAAATGTACAATATGTGATAAAAAAAACAACATAAACTTTAAAATTAAATATTCCAACATGGCATATTATTTTGACGATTAGTAAATGGAGCTAACAAACTTTCCGATTAATATAATGTTGATATGGAGAACATTATTTAATTTAATTTTAAAAAGATTGAAAATCTCTTTCAATTACTAAACTCATGTTGATTTTTAATTCTTTCAGAAACAATATACGCTTTATTTAGCCCTCCTGTTTCGTAATGAAGGTCATTTGATCGTCAGTGATAATTATAACGCATATGCTCATTTGAATAAAACATGCTTAATAAGTTTGATTCTATATTTTTAATGACTGATCTTCAAGTATTTAAAAATAATCTTGTTTTTCATAATATTACATTTATTTTTTAAAATCGGGTGTTAGCAGAATTTTTAAGCCATCGATTTTAAAAGATAAATATTGTAAACAATTATGAATAAAAATATACAACAGTTCAATTTATATTTTGTCTAATATGGGGATGAGAAAGATGTTTAAATCAAATAATATACAGAAATTAACAGATAAACATCGCCAAAAGCTATATATGCATCATCTGGAACTAGAGCTTATTTATTATTTTATCCTCTATTTACCAAGAGACAATGGATTCGACTTCTATGAGCCTGATAAATATTACTTGTCCTAGTTACAAGCACACCTTTTGGTAGGTGGAATCACATTAAACTCGAAGATCCTCATTATATCCTTCAAATTTAAATAATGTTATACATAGATAGCATAATATAATATATCTCGACATGAATCTCAAATAATATTAATAAAAATTATATCTAACTGAAAAAAAAAATGTAATAAAATTGTTGAATTTTTAATTATATTGTAATTTTATGAACCTATAAATTTTATTTAGAAAACGTTGTTTTAAATGAATTGTTAATTTTGATTATTTTTTAAAATTAGAAAAAAAGAGAGAAATATGGCGCTGGTACAAATGGCGGTATAAAAATCAGCATGCCACAGTTTATTGATAGTTTTAAAGTACAAAGTCGCTGGCTGATAAACTTTTTTCACTAAGCACAGGTCTATATATCACAAGAAATTAAATTTTTTTTAAGTTTGAGTTCTAACAATTTATCGATGATTTTTTTTAAAGATTAACAATAATTTCTTAAATTTTTATAAATTTTTAATCACATTTTCACTAACCTTAAAAAATGGATTACACTTTAATAACATATTCCAATTTATATAAAAAAATCCCTATTATTTACCCATTCTTTGATATTTGCTTAAATGCCAGTGCCAAAATAAGTATATTGATTTCAAAATATTTATACGTACCAAATTTAATATTTTTACATTGCATAGCCTCAGAAACGGGGCAGACGTAGTAATCAAGATATTGACCGGGTCTCCTCAGCTCCAAATGTATCAATAGATAAAATGCGATTCACTTGTGCACAATGCGCATACTCTTCAAATAGAAAATCGATTTACGAGAAACATTTGTTGACCCATCGCACTGAACGGCCTTTCCAATGTCACTTTTGCGAAAAGGCCTTTAAGACACAGGTTGCCCTCAAACAACATATCAATAGTCATGAGGGAAAGAAACCTAACAAATGCACTGACTGTACATCGGCTTTTACGACGCCTGGCGAATTGCATCGCCATATCAAATACATTGTAAGCACTATAGAAAGAGATTAATTAAATAAAATAAAAGACAGATCAAAACCTTTTTAGTTACAAATTATTGAAATTTGATTTAACACAATATACAAGAAACTGCATTTACGTTTCTACATATTAAATATATTGTAGTTTAACATAAAAGAGGAAAAATAAATATGACTAAAGAATAAGATAAAGAATTAATTACTAATTAAGGTAGGAAATTTAAAAACTTCTATAGTTTACTAACTATATCTTGATTTATAATATAAAATTTTTTTTTTTTTTAGCTCATCTCGAAAATGTAAAAAAAAATCAAAGACATGGAAATAAAATATTATTTAAAAATAAGGTCGATGAAAAGTTATAATATGATATTATTGATTAAGTAATTCATTATAAATTAAATTTATCTATAGTACAATCAATAAAAGCCATCAATGTATAAATAAAATGCTCTTTATAATATATTTATAGCATACTCATGAAAAACCTCATAAATGTACGGAATGTAATTACGCGAGCGTTGAATATTCCAAACTAAGACGTCATATGCAAGCTCATTTAGGATTTAAGCCGTACGCATGTCCTCATTGTAGTTACAGAAGTGTCGATAATTTCAAACTCAAACGACACTTAAGAATTCACACTGGCGAAAGACCATACAAATGCGATATTTGCCAAAGCTCCTTTAACCAGAGAACCACTCTTAAAGTCATATTCATAATATATATAATTTATTTTTAGGGCAGTACTGATATTAAATATCGGATCGGGGCCGATATTTCGCGTTAAAAAAATATAGGATAGGGGCGATATTTTAAAAAAATATTTTTTGTTTATTTGATAAATTTTTAATACATAATAATTTCATAATAATAATAAATTAATAAAAGGAACCAAAATTCAATTTATATGTGATGTTTATAAAAAATCGAATTGTTTAAAAGAATATGATTTTACATTATCTGCATCACGAACAGGATTTTAAGTTATATAGTTGTTCATATTTAGCTATAGTGGTATTAAATAGATTAGCCGAAAAAAGGCGAAATTAAGATTTTAGTTAGGGCTGTGCCGATATTAGATATCGGATTGGTTCGGCACTGATATTTAGCTTTTTCCAAAAATATCGGATACAACCGATACTGTAAAAAAACCGATCCGATCTTTTTACTTTTATTTTATTTATTATTTTATGTTATTAATTTCATTAATAATATTTTCTAAATAATTTTTTTTAAAAACAATGCAAATGCACAACGCCCCTTAAATTTTATTTATTAGGCTGTGTCCTAAATCATAAAAAAAATTTCTCAAAATTTTTGCGAATCGCAAAACTTCCGGGAGATTTGAGAGATACGAAATATGTCCCGATTTATACATTTATTTTCAATTTTAAAATGTTTGATATGAATGATTAACTATTTCTATTTTTTATATTATTTGTTTACACGACTGAGCGTAGAAGAAGGCATAGATTTTTAGAAAGCCGGTATATATGATATTATTTATATTATATGTATTAATTCTAGAGATCAAGGACTTTTTAAAATATTTGATAGTATTCCATCTTATCCTGTCAAATTTCGTCAGATGTTCCACATGCATGTGGAAACATTCAACTACATTCTTATAAATAAAAACTCTATTAGTATAAAGCATCGACTCTATATAACACTCATGTATGATGATGATTTTTTTTTTATAATCTGTATATATTTATAGATATTTGACAACTGGTATGAGCTTTAGGAAAATCGCATTATATGCAAAGATAGGAAAAACATCAGTAAGCACAATTGTCACAGCAACATGTAGGTTATTATGGGTAGGTCTACAGCCCAAGCATCTCTGCTTACCAACAGTTCAACAGATGCTTGAAATATCAGCAGGATACTTCAGGAAATCAGGTTTTCCTCATATAATAAGTGCTATTGATGCAAAACATATCAAAATAAAACAATCTAAAAAAAGTGGATCCACATTTTATAATTATAAAAAATTCAATTCCATTGTGATTCAAGGTATTTCAGATGATAAAGCTAGGTATTTATATATTTTCTAATTTTTAATTCTTTTCTAGATTCATGTTGATAGAAGTTGGGTTTCCGGGATTTATATCAGATAGAAGTATATTTTCTAAAAGCCTATTTTATGAAGGGATGATCAAAAAAATCGTAAAGATTCCCAATCCAAATTTTTTACCCTCAACAGATATATTATCACCTTACTTATTTGTAGGTGATGATGCATATCCTTTAATGGATTTTATTATGAAATCTTAAAACAAATTTGAATGATAATAAATTAAATTTCAATACAAAATTATCAAAAGCCAGAGTATCTATAGAGAGATGCTTTGGCATCATGAATGCCAAATTCAGACACCTTTATAAACCATCAGAAACTAATATTACTAATACTATACAAATAGTTAAGGCTGACTGCCTATTGCACAATATTATAATTGAACTTGAGGGAAATAATTCTACATCAATAATTCATGAAGATTATCCTATTCCAAATTTTACCCAATCTCAGTTCCAGCCAGGGTTGCCAGATATTCTTCACTTGAAAACGTGAGTTTTTCTTATATAGTAATTAATGGGGGACTTCGCTCCCCATATCAATTTGCTGGCCTTCGGCCCGCTTTTGCCCGGCCTTCGGCGGGGGTAATTGATGTAGCATACTCATCTAAGTTCATATGTTATATTTAATATAACAAGATTTTAAAGACAATAATAATTCTTTATTGATTTACTAATAAAAATTATGATATATAATTTTCTCATGTTTATAAATATAGCATAATATTAATTATTATATTTTATGGATGATTTTAAAAGAGGCAATAAAGATTTCCCATCGGCACTGTGGAGATAGGCTGAAAATTCTTTGCATGAATAGTTATATTTTGTCTAACCATAAGTTCAGCTTCCAATGATGACGTTCTTTTCGCCAAGCAGTAGTCATTAGACTGAATATTCTCTCTGATGAAGCATTTGAATGTGGAATAGAAAATATAAAATTGCATATTTTCTATATCAATGGTGAGTTTTTATTAGAAAGAAAATCCATCCATTTTTCTTGGGTAATTCATGTGATTGTTTTTTGATAATTTTTCTTCATAATAGTAATAAAATTGTGATTATTCATCAAAGAGAATTTCTGTATCTATGTTTGGTATTTTATAATTACTAATAATTTTTTGTAATTGTTCAAATTCTGGACATTATTTTAATGTCATAGGGCTAAGATATTTCCATATATTATCTATAATATCATAACATTTTTCTACATATTCTATAATATTTTTTATAAATATCTTTGATTCATTTTTGAAATTTATTGCCTTTTCTACATCATTATTATGTTGTAATTAATATTTTTAGAAATGCTCCCATAAAAATTTTGTTGAATTTTTAAATTTAATGAATTCTTTAGTTTTAGGATAAGATCATGATATATTGCTAATACATCTTCAGATTGCAAATGTAAATTTATGTTATTGACTAAAGTGTCAACGTTGAGGACAACACCTAAATATGCCTCTACAAAATCATCTCCAAAAATTATTTTAAAAATTGGTGGGGTTGCTGATAATGATAAAAAATATTCTTTAAGGGGTTGAAAATACTTAAGCATCCGCTTAATCGCTGGGATTAATGTAAGCCAGCGTGTTGGAACATGGCGAAGTGATTCTGACCATTCTAAATTGCACCATTCTACGGCTAGGGCCACTTTGTTGGAGGAAAACCTCTTCTCGTGGTTCTCTTGCGAGTTGACTGATTTGAGTGTCTATATTTTTGAAGCTAGTGCAAGCTTACCGAATTTGGTAAATGTGGTCGAAATATTATTATGAAACAATGGTCGTTCAAAATTTCTGTTCATTTTGAAATTTTATGTTTTTCTTTGTGATCCAAAATAGTGGGGGCTTGATTGGAGGGGGTCAGGGGGTCAATACATGATTAGTCTTATCTGAATGGTGATCCCATCAGGAAGTTAACCGTCGGATCAGAAAAGACCAGGAGGTTCTAGTTTGGAGGGTATTTGTGATTTCATGGCTCTGGGTGATTGAGTTACATTGTGTGTGCCTTAGTATTGAAAACGGATGTTGTTTTTTAGATCTTTTATAATATTTGCCCTTAATTTATTTCATTTAAATTTTTTTCGAGTTTTAATATAAGATTTATAAAATCCATAAAAGAAATATATAGTTATTTAAATTCATATTATAATTACACTTGATAAACTTTCTAAAAATTGAATTTCTGTTGTGGGTAATTGATCAATGAATATGATTGGTTAGTTGGACTATTAATACTACAATTTTTTTAAATATTTTAAAAAAAAATTAATTTAAAATTTTACATTTGTTTTTAAAAATATTTTGAAAAAATTTAAAAACGTGAGAAAAAGTGTGAGACTAAGTGTGATTATTTTATTTATTCAAAAAATCTGAGAAAAGCTTGAAGTGTGAGAAAACGTGGTAAGTAAAAAATTAGGTATGAAATCGTGAGAATCACGGCTAAATTTTGACATCTGGCAACCCTGGTTCCAGCGATGGACTGAGAGCTCTAATAATATCAGAGAAACATTTAACTTATTTGTAAATAATTATATGTAAAATTTTTGTATACATTTATTTTTTAATTCCCATAACCTTATATCTCTTATGAATGTTTTCATTTGTCAAAGTTATATAATTTATTTATAAATATTCAATAAAAAGTGTTGTTTTGATTATATTGTATAAGTAAGTTATTTAATTAATTTAATGAGGAAGACTGCTTAAATGACTAAGTTTACATTTTTAAATAAATCATTAGACATAATAATTTTTATTATAAAAATATACAAAATATGTTAAACATATTGTAAAAATGGTATTAAAAATAAAGATATAAGATTACATATAATATATTATCTGAAAAAAATTTCAATTTCATATCATATATTTCTTTTTCAGTCATACGATTAAAAGTTGTTTGGAAGGATTTAAAAAATGCCTGAACATGATGAATATCATCATCATATGATATTTTTTTTTGCAAAATCTATTTCAAAAATAAATAATTATTAAATATAATAAATGTTTACCTCCAAATATATCCATCTTCTCAGTATCATATTTTTAAATTTTGTTGATTCTTTTAGATTTAGATTTTTCAAAATTTTTCCTTTTAGAGGTAAAAGGATAAATATTTTCTATATTAAAATTGTCTAACTATTATTAAATTATTAAAATATATATAAATATTCAACTTCTAATATTTCATTCTCAGACATATTCATGTCTATAGGACTAAATGAATTAACTATATCATTTAAGATATATTGTGCATTTGGTTCATCATTCTATAATACCTGTGAATGTGATGATGTTTGAACATTCAACACATCTTGGATGATTGGCTCATAATCCTAAAATATAGATTATTATATAGTCCTAATTTCATTGTGAAGATATTTGTTTATGAGTAGCATCCTTGGATAGCTTCAAACTGAAACTACCCTCTGAATGCTTGCAGATATCAACCACATTTTCCTTAAGCCAATGATAATCCTCAATAAATTGGAGCTGCTTGCTATTCAAAACATTAGCACCAGAACCTTAAATATAAAATATTTATAATTATACATGATTTTGTGGATATAGCAAAATTTTTATTAAACTTTGCCTTTATTCCAGTTTTTTTAAAATTTCATCATAAGTAAGATCATATCTCTTACCAATCTCCTCCCATTTTATTTTGCTACCAGCGCTGTCTCTGTATTTAAGGTCACTAATACACCATAAATATCTATAAGGTCTTATAGTTTCCATCAATTGAAATTCGTTAGCCATTTTTATTCCCTCAATTCGCAAAAGTTTACGGAAAAAATGATTAAAGTTTTACGAATATAATTTTTAAGAATCACGTAATTTGCGCAAAATCGAAAAAATCATTTAGGCCATTTTATATTATTTTATTAATTAGATTCGCGCAAATTGCGCGAGATAATTTTTATGCAATTTTTGATATTTAGGACACAGCCTTTAAGTAGATTTATAGTATTTTAAAAGTTTTTTTATAAAATAGAAAGGAACACTCAAAGTTTTATTTATCTTAAATCTTTTTAAATAATAACGCCAATTTTATTATTTATACCTTAAATAAAAGAATCTTTTTAAATATGGTATCTGAATTATGGAAATATTTTACAAAAGACATAATTTTGCAAAATGCGTTATCTGCGGAATTCTAATTTCACGGGGAGGAATAATGATAATGAAAAATTCATTTAATAGTACCAATATCCATAAACCTTTTTTAATTATTGTAGAAATAAAAAAATTAAATTAAATGCATAATTCGAATTTTTGCATAAAAAATATTGATTTCTTAAATTCACAGTGGGGGGAGGGTGAAAAATCAATATAAATATCGGATCTGTTTTGAACCAATATCCGAAAATATCGGATCGGTGAAAAATATGTGGATCAGCACAGCCTTAATTTTTGTCAAAAATTACCTAGGCTTGGAGATTTTGCCTACAGATGGTAGAAAGCTTAAGACATCTATTGATGAAATTTCAAGGTATATGTAATAATATTTTGAAAATCCTGATTTAGTCGTTTTTAAAAATCGGCGGAATTGGTGCGTTTAACAACACAACATTTTACAATAAACATTGCCCATATTTTAAATGTAATTATTATTTTGGAGAATAAAAAACAAAATACACTTAATCATTTTTTTTAAATAGAAAATAAATTTTTTTATGATATTCTTTCAAGGATAGACGGTAAATAAAAATTAATATAAATATTATCGGATCGGGTTTGTAGTATTATCGTGTCGGATCGATAAAAAATTTGTTGATCGGCACAATTTATTTATCTTCTATATATTTCTTCAAAATATCTGATCTTCATTAAATCCTTGATTATTTTACTTTATCTTTCAGTCTAATTGGACAGAATATTTTTTTAAAATCACATTGATTAAATTGAATGTAATAATTTTAGATGCATATATTGACTCACTCAACTGAAAAACCAAAATACAAATGCCATTTATGTCCGTCCACGTGTGGTAGAAAAACAGATTTAAGGGTTCACTTTCAAACTTTACACAATTGCGATATACCCATCTTGTGCAAAAAATGTGGCAAATTTTTTCCTGATCGATACACCCATAAAGAACATGCTAGAACTCATAAAGGTTTTTAATATTTTTGGTTTACATTTTTTCAGTTTTAAATCTGATTTCAAAATTATCTATTTTTAGAATTATTATTAACCCGTTTTTGACCAAATTAATTTTTTTAAATGATTTCTATTGATATGAATGAATTAGTATCATTTATTATTTCTTAATTCTCTAGAATTGTTATTTCTTTAGACGAACTAAAACAGTGCTATAAAGGCTAAAAACATCATAATCAGAGGTCAGCAAAGCCCGGCCCCTTAAGAATTTTTGTATAAATTGTAAAACCGGTCCCATGTCAATTCGGTGAAACACATTTTTTCGAAACTTTTATCGCAAATATTTTATAGGGAAACTTATATAGCGAATCAATAATCGCGAAAGTTTTATAGCGAGGTCAATATCGCGATAATTGTTAATAGGGATTTTTATTTTGAAACATTTATTTTTATGATCACATTAATTTTTTTCTAAATATATATTAAAACAAATGAGGATATATTAAAAATTAAATTTTTTTAAAAAATATATGTATAAATCTATGAAGAAAAACATAAAAAAGAACTAAAAGAAAAAAAATATTAAAATAAGGGTACATATCACCCTAGAGAAGAGTTTTAAAAAATTGGACTGGCAGTTTTCCAGGGAAATCGACGAAAAGAAAAACATAAAAAAGAACTAAAAGAAAAAAAATATTAAAATAAGGGTACATATCACCCTAGAGAAGAGTTTTAAAAAATTGGACTGGCAGTTTTCCAGGGAAATCGACGAAGGTAAAATCTTTCCTTGGGGTCCCCTAAGATCTGTCTCATTTTTATGATTTTAATGAAATTGAAGGCCTCACTTCCAAACATGCCTAGAGTATTGGTAACGATTGGTATGAAAACAGTGTTGGTGAGGCCAGCATATTTGTTTTTTTGGTTTTCTGCCTTTTCGATGGCAGAAAATGAGAGGTTGGAATCTGCTGCAAAATCGACACAGGTAAAGTCCTAAGCGAGCGGGAGAGCATAAGTCCAGGGAATGAGGGATATACCATCGGGGCTTTCGTTTGAGAGGCCCACTGGTTCGAGAGTGGATGGAATTAACTTTTTAAGGGCAGCTAGGAGAATGTTGTTGATAGATTTATGACGAGATTGTCATCCATGGGAGAACTTGCAGTGCAAGGAATGGTAAGCTTTTGATTCAATAGGTTGGCCACAGCCGATACAAATAGAGGGAACTATAGCAATACAGCCAAGACGTAGGGCTATAGAAATGCGTAGCTATTCGCCAGTCATGAGTAGGCCAAGATTGGAACTGATGGCTTCCAACCATTCGTAACCTGAGTTTGCATATAATACTAAGTTATAAGGATTGTCCTCAAAGGGCCTTTTTGAAATTACGTATTCAACGGAACGAGCGGTCAGAGAAGCATTCCAGCCTTTTTGAATGTGGAGGCAGGACGACAAAGTGGATGGGCAATTGCTGCCCCAAAAGGTGAGGGCCTGAGAAAGGTCTGGATCTAAAGGAGTGGATTCATTATTGATAATAGATTGAACGCCAAACGAGATGAGATAAAGGCTGAGAGGAAAAGTTGTATCGGGGATCGGATACTAATACCCCCAGACTTGCTGGGGAGGGTGGCCTAAAGGCAGGATAAATTGAAAAATTTTAAGTTTAATTTATTTTCAAGGAGACCCTTGATTTGGGTTTCATGGGAAACAATCAAGTCGCTGCATTTGAAGATCGGAGAGGATCTCAGGGCGTAGAGGATTTTAGGTATATTGAAATAGTTTTATATTAAAAAAAAAGATTGATGGGCGGGGAGGTAATCAAATAATGTGTTTAATTTAGATAAATTGTTAAGGGATTTTTTTAAAAAAGTTTTGATGGCCTTTTCACCCCCTATCAGTGATCCCATCATTAAATAATATTTTGAAAAAAATAAGTATAAGTTTGATTCAATTGGAGTTTTTAATTTTCTTTTAAACTTATTAAATTTATATAATGATTAATGAACATAAGTTGCTATAACAGTTAGTAATGAAAATTTTGCCAAGATATATTCGCTCTAAAGTATTAGCAGAAATAAATTCGCGATAATGAGTTCAATATTGTCTTCGCTACAAATGTTTCGTGAAAAAAATTTGCGGTCTCGAAAAAGTGTTTCGCGATAAAATTATTACTTAATTAACCTTATACGGCCCATCCTGCTAATTTTTTGTCTGGCCCTACATTTTTAAAACAATTTACCCGAAACCTGGCTCAAATTTTTAAAAAAAATTTGCCACAAACTCGACCTTAAATTTTTTAAATAAAAATGTCAATACCCTTATTTTTATTGTTAGTTTGAACAAAATATCATTCAAAACGAACATTTATTAAAGAATAATCTTTTACATTAAACTTATAATTTATTAATTAAAAAAATTCTAAATAAATTTATTTGCTTAAAATAATTTTTTGCATTAATGGTATTGCATAAAAGTATATTATTAAATAATCGAAATGATCTTAAAAAATTAATTTATAGCTTAATAATCATATGAAAATTTTTTATATATTTTTTTTACATGATAAAAGTATTCTTCACAATCTTGAACAAATATCTATAGATTTAAAAGGGAAAAAATATATTGCAATAATTTTATCAAAATGTTGAATTATTATTTACCTTGCATTAGAAAGTTCCAACTAATTATGCACATGCGATTTACAATTTTATTAATATCGAAAAGGGAGCTTTTATTCTGAGAAATTTTATTAAATTAAATGTCTATTTCAGATAATTGATTAAACTCAATTTAATGGTTCACCAATATCGATATTTCAGTACCCCTCTTCATATTACAATTTTTATCAAGCCATCTTGCCATTCTAAATGACCTTTTGACGGTTCATGTTTTAATAGCCCTTTCTTTGCAGCTAAAGCGTTTTCCCAATTGCTAAATCCTTTTTTTGCGATTTCATTACTTTGTACACAAATATTTCCTACAAGAAAGGCATCATCAGCTTCAACACCCTATTTAACCAGTCTCGACTCTATATTTTGTCTTTTGAAAGTATTTTAACCTTTTGATTTGTTAGAATTTTTTGACATGAACTTATTATATTCAAGAAGATGCTAAGAAGAGTCATTACTGAAACTATCATATTCTAAAACACTAGTGTAATTTTGACAAGGAAATAAAAAGGTGGATATCGTTTTTTTCTATTAAATGGTATATGAGCGAATGGATATTTTTAACTAATATTTTTTATAAGAATCTTATTGTTTTTTAAATTTAGATTTAATGACGAATAAGTATATTAATAACTAATAAACATTTTTTAGAAAACCTGGTGCCTGGAAATATTTTTAGGACAAATATAAAAATTCGAAGGCCAGGCTCTTGGGGCAGGGCTGTTCCCTTCTGGTTACATCCCTGAAAATGTAAATAGTAACCAGCCATTTATAGTTTGCATATTTTAATTATTCTTATTGCATTATTTTTATTTAGTCTGTGCTTATACATTTTATGCTTCTATAATACATGTAATTAGCATAATCATTTTTTAGGTGAAAAATGTTTTAAATGTGAGCTTTGTAGTTATGCTACCCATTTACGGCAAAATTTGGATATGCATATGCTTGTCCATACTAACCAAAAACCTATCGTTTGCAAGTTTTGCGACAAACGTTTCAAACAAAAATCTCAAATGACCAAACATATGGAAGCCTTGCATATCGATAAAGAGTTTGAAAACTTTAAAAAAGGTTTGTATTATCTAAACAGGGTGTTTAAAGCCATGAACCCGAATTATACTGTAATTTTCCTAACCGTAATATAACCAATGGAGTGAAGCGAACCGTTATAAATACTTCTGAACCCATTTATACTGGATTTTGTAATTTTACTAATTTTAAATGATAGGCGTAATTTAAAATATTATTAAAAACATTGGTTTAAATTTTTGTGTGGTTATGTTATTTTACTTTATTTGTTATTTCCTATGGGTTTTATATGATTTTTATTAGGGCTGTGCTGATATTATATATCGGATCGGGCCGGTTATTTCTGAAAAACCGAACCTATATTATTGTTTTGATTATTTTATGATTCAATATTATTTATAATATCTTTTATTTTACACATAATTTCCTTTCCTAATAATAATGATAAAAGGAATCAAAATTCAATTTATATATAATATTTTTAAAAAATCGAATTATTTTTTTAAAAGAAAGAGTGCTGAAATGTGAAATTATTTTTTGTTATATTATTTGCAACAAGAACGGAATTTTAAAATGTATAACGAGTCACATTCAGCTATAAACATTGTTCATATTTTAAATAAAAGGATTAAACAAAAAATTTTAAGTTTTTTGTTTTGTCCATAGTTTACAGTTAATTATTTTTTATGACATTGCTTTAAACTCAAAGTTAGATGATAAAAATCATTATTAATACCAGAATGTATCAGATCAGGTTTGTACAAATAGGAGAAAGAATCGGATCGAACAAAAATTTGTGGATCGGCATAGCCATAGTTTTTATCTAAAAAAAATTTAATATTTTTATTAGATTATTAAATGTCAACTAAATAATATATATGATGATTAATTTTAAAAAAATTAATATTTAAAATCCGGAATGAACAACAGATAGATTTATAAATCGAAAAGAACCAATATAAAATCGTTTAAATAGAAACTAAACCGTTTTAAATTAAAATTAAACCTTTCCTTGATCCTAAACCCATCATTTTAATATTTTAAAATACCATACCTAAAAAGCGAAAATGTTTCAAGATCAACATATTAACCTGGGCATGGAAACCGATGATAATCAACCAATTTTTGAATCTATTGATGTTGATTTAAGTTCTTCAGTTCAACCTTTAAATATCTATAATATTATGAACCCAGAAAATTTAAATGAATCGATTAAAGGGAAGAACAAATACTGCTGTCAGGTATAATATAATAATCTACATATAATATAACTTCCATCATAAACTTAGCATTGCTCAAATGTCTACACTACAAAATGTCGGTTAACTAACCATATAAGGACCACTCATTTTAAAAAAAAGGTTAATGTTAATTTATAGTTTTGGGTAATAATCTTTACATTTTGATAGGTTGCAATTCAACAAAATCACGAAAAAAGAAACAACGAGATCGATGTTTTGCCCAATATTGATGATAATATTATGGGAGAAGATATGATAAAATTTAGCATAAAAGAATTATCCGGACTAAAAGAAAATACTCTTATTATGATTTTAGAAAATGATCTTGCAACAACCAACGAATTTTAGTTATTTCAAAGTTGTTCCGTTTTATAGAATGTACATTTTATATTAGTAATTGGTCTTGTTTCTCTTAACATAACAAATTAGTGTGATAAAGATTATGCATTATAAAAATGATGTGGGAGTAAAAGAAAATTACTCATGCTTTTAATAAAATTATTGTCCAATGCGAAAAATTTATTATTTTCAAATTAACTTCCAGTATTTTTTGTTCTATTTTTTTATCACAATATAAAACAATATTTATACTCAGATAAGAGTTGGGCAGGTCCTCCGAAAATGAATCTAGATAGAGATTCTTTATAAAAAAAAAATCTTAGATACATATACTAGTATCTTATACTAGTATCATTTTCAAAATATCAAAAAGATACTAGTGTCTTTTGCTAAATTAGAGTATCTTAAATACAAGTTACTTTTAAATTATCATTATCAATGAAATTAGAATAGTTTATGAATTACAATTTTTATTATTTATTTGTGAAGAAGATAATATACGCATATAATAAGAATGTATATTTGCAATAGTTAATAAAATATTTAAGATGAAATAATAATCAGGCATTATAATATTAGTATTAGCCCATTCTTGGCATAGATAGAGAAGAGAGTAGTTTAATTAATAGGAATTGAAATATTAATTTGCAAAAGAGTACTTAAAATAGATTCATTATTTTATATGATAATCAAATTTTTCAAATAATTTATCATTAGACCTTTGCCGTTTCGGCGCACTTAACATTGTGACAAAAAAATAACCTTTCAATTGGAGCTGAAAAGCTATTGCAGTATTATATTTTAAAAAACATTACCTTAATGGAAGGATATTAATTAAGCATTTATAATGTATTTCGACTTTCTATAATACAATTTAAAACCTCCAGTTCAATGTTATTTGTATTATTAAACTCAGCAACATTTGTTTCACCAAAAGAAAAATAATCATCATTTTCTTTATTAAATGTTAAATCTATTGATGTTATAGTTTGAGCTTGATCAGGTACTCATTTAGGACTTCTTTTAATAATATATTTTGAGTATTTTTTTATCAGCCAACTCAATTCATAAGTTCTTAAATGCCAAAGCCTCATTATATTCATATCATAGGAAAATTTTTTCTAAAAATCTTTTGCCCATACCATCTTGGGCAGCTTTTAATAAAGGTAGAGAATATTGTAAACTTAAATTTTTAAGATTACCTATGTCCCTTTTAACAACTTATAAATAATATACTTTTATGTTTAACAAAATTTGTGTTTAACCCTTTTTTTTTGTTTATTTATACAGGTTTTACATTCAATCTGTATATTATCTTTTTTAACATTTATTTTTAAAAATTTCCATCTAAAATTTTGAAATTGGGTTTTGATTCAGGAGAAATTATTTTAATAATTTATATTTCACTACCATGAGTGTTAATCATCCTACAAATTAAATATATTACATAAAATTGGTAATGATATTCTATTGAGTTACATTTTATATAAAATATAATTTTTATTTATTTCGTTTTGTATGGACGTTTTTTGAATGATATTACATTTATCAATCTTTGTTTTAAGATTTGTATCACGTGAGATTATATATATTATTGTGAAATATATAAATAAAATTATGGACATGAAATAGTGGTTTGGAGTTGTAGTGTTTAACAATATACTTTATATATATAATAAAAAGAATACATTTATTACTTATGAAATTCCAGAGTATAAATATTGCTACCAACATGAGGGCAAAAAATATGGAATATATTGTGCTAAATTTGTAAAGAAATAAAATATTAAAAATCTCAAAATTATGAAACCCAACAATTTAATAAAAGAAAATCTATTTGGACGGAATTATATTTTTGTCGCATATCCTTTGCGAACACAATAAACATTTAAACAAAATTTTTAATAAATTAAATTTATCATAGCCTTGAATCGGATTTCCCAACTGTTAATTTTATTGTAGTGAACAAAACTAGTTTTGCCTACCTAGGTTCACCTATTGAAAATGTTATATTTCATTTCAGAGATGAAATTTTGGCCAATTATTTATGTAATTATAATCATCATCGGGTATTGACATATTACCAGAATTACCATCGCCCCATTAGTCATAAAACGATTCAGTTTGTTTAACAACAGTCGTAATTTGACTGGTCGATGGTATTTCATTTACTTCCTGAGCCTCTTGTAATTTAATATAATCTTTTATATAGTTTTCCGTCATTTAGCGATCTGTCCCTGACTACATACGTAATTGCTTGAATTTGGGACAGAGAAAAAGAGAAATAAAATGATACTTGTGTAAAACAAATTTTTCAATTAAAAAATGCTTTATATTAAGTAAAATCAATTTTATTTCTCCTTTTCGCTTTGGTATTACAAACTTTAAGAAGTGATATTCCTTTATTTGATTGTTTTGGTAAAATATATTCTAAAAATTTAGATATGAATTATAAAAAAATATATTAAAAATACTTGAATATTGGGGCTTATTTAAGATATTCCTTTATTTGATTGTTTTGGTAAAATATGTTGTAAAAATTTAGATATGAATTATAAAAAAATATATTAATACTTTGAATAAATTTGCAGGAAATTAATAATTAGATCGATCTGTGGGTTGTTAGGTAGTGTTAACCATCACCCAATATTATATTAATCATAACTATAATATAATATAATCTTATAATCATTAACTCATAATGTAAAAATTTTTATAAAAAATATTAAGGCCCGGCCCGGGTTTAACAATCTTAGGCCCGGCCCAGATATATTAAAAAAAAAATTTTTTAGGCCCGGCCCGGATATGTTTAAAAAAAATTTTTTTAGGCCCGGCCCGGGTATATTTAAAAAATTTAAAATACGGCCCGGGCCGGCCTGCAGGTCTCTGATAAATATCAAGCTAACATGATAAGGTGATAAATCTGATAAATATAGCTATCTTAAATGCCTTAATAAAAAAAAAATTATACAAATTTAATAAAATATATTAATTCTGCACAATTTTTATTAGTTATATCAACGTCCGATTTGGTATTATATGTAGTCTAAATGTTGGAATGATTTAAGCTGGGAATTTTTGCTATTTTTATCGGAGATGGATTTACGCTAAATGCATCCCTAATTATCTTCGAAATGATGAAAGATTGGGCTGGTTGTAAGGAAAGTTTTATTATATGCCTCTTATGTTATAACATAAATGAAGCTTTACCAAGATTATTAAGAATAGAAATATCAATTGCGCATTAAATGGCTTGAGATTATTGGAAATTCATTATAAAGTTTCTGAAAAATATTTAAAAAACAAATTAATAGGCAAGGAAGACATTTATTTAAAATAATAGGAGTGTTTTAACCCCAAATTTTATGTCAATACTTACCGAGATTAGCTATCCACGATGGTAACCTTCTATCGCTCTATGTCTTTAGCTATTTATGGACACAAAGATGAGCATTTATGTATTCATCTTCTAACAGGCATTGAAATAAATAAAAAAAATTATGATATAAATTCAAAATTTTAACACTAAGAACAGCTATTAAATGATTTTTGCAAAACTCCAATACCACCAATTTTAACCTAATCCGTAGTTTCTTAAAGCGCCATCTATTTTCTTTCAATTTTTTGCAAGAATGTATATTTCGGATTGACATAGTATATATTTATAAAACGTGTCTAAAAAAGGGCAAAAAAAATTTCCGAGAACAAACTTCCTTTATTGCTTAATAAAACGGAAAAGCAATATAGGTAAACATGAAGTTAAAATCAGGGATGTGAACCCTTCGACAAAAAAAAGGCTCTGAGTACAGGAATAAAATTTGAAGACCCGGGTTCAGGGAAAAAAATAATGACTCAAAATAAGATTTTTTTTCATTCATTTATTATTCATAATTTACAAATGAAAAATGTAATAATTTATATTTAAATGATTCAATCGCACAATCATAATATCTTCTAAAATATCATCCCTGAGATTTTTACGTAGAGACAATATATATTTCAAAGATGAAAATTCACGTTCTACCCTTACCCAAAATAGAAAGTTATCTTTATAAAATTATTGTACTTGCGTCGCCGATACAGCCATGAAGATTCTAGACAAGATATATAATTCTGGATATATTGAAGAATTTTAAAATATTTGTATCCTTATTTATTCTCTTAACTTCTGAGAACTTATCTATTAAAGATGCAATAGGCATTTTTTGATCCTCCTTTCTATCTGATGATAATTTGATTTTTTTTTCTCTATCTAAAAGTAAAATTTCAAGATCATCAATGTTGCTATCATTATTATCATTACAACCAGTAGGTATTATTGTCGAAGCCTCCAATATATTTTAAATAATAGAGTTTTGCGTAGTCATAAATCCTTAAAATGGTCTTTAGCCATTTGTTTTTGCTCAATACTCAATAAAACTTGATATCGAAGGTCTAAATATATAGAAGCGTATACAACACAGTTTTGTAAATATTGTTGCTCTCGAATTTTTATGTTTTCTAATATTTCTTATAAAAAGGACTAGTAAATCTTTGTAAATCTAGTCGGCATCTAATCCATATGCCATAAAAATCAGATAAACATAATTGTTCTGATTGTAATCTTAATATTGTTATTTTTAAAGAAACTAATACACTAGTAAGGTCCTTTATTTGGCACCAATCATCTTCCGACAAAATGACTTCACATGCTCCTATAAAATCATTACAGAAATCTTTCAAACTTAATAATTGTTCTAGCATCATACAAGTTGAGGATCAACGTGTTGTGCATTATCATTTAAATTAAAATATTATTACACAATTAAAAAATTCATAATAAAATATTATTGCCTACACTAATGATATCAATCTCTAAATAAAATGGAAGTCCAGGAAGAAAATTGAAGGAAAAAGGCGAAGATAAAATAAATGATTCCACAAAAAAAGTTAACAAAATTTATATTATTTTTTAAAAATTTTTATGACACCTAGAACCCTTCACTTTTAAAAAGGGTCCGGGTTCAGCCAAAATACGAGGGTCCAGAGGGGTCCGGGTTCTGGTTCACATCCCTAGTTAAAATCTCAAGGCCCAAATTTTTTATTTTTTCGACCTTTGGAGATTTGTTTTACCTAC